CCAGCAGCACAATCCAGTCCATCCAAAAGGGGAGTGCAGCCAGACCACTGCAGACCATCTGGATCCACCCCTGAGTGGCACCCCATACCAAAAACTAACTATGAATTACATTGCTTACCTCCTTGCAGAGGGGCTGGGCAGGGGAGCGGCCAGACATGAAAGAGCCTAAGCCTGTTCTTGTCTCTTCTCACCTGCTCATCTCCTCACACCTCACCCTTCAAATGATATGGCAGCGGCATTCTGGTTGAGAAGCACTGATCCAGAGGTAATCATCAGGGAATGGGGCCCCTTTGTTAGTGCACAGATTTGTGACTAGTCCCAGCCCTGTAGGGTTCATGGTCTAGGTTAGGCTGCTCTAGGTCTGAGCATTCCTAGAGCAGGAAGAAAGTGCCCCTGTGTCTAAAAGGCTTGCCTGGGCAGTGACGGGATGAAAAAAGAGCTAGTATGCTAGGCAGCTGCAAGGCCAACAAGCACTGGCTTCAGGCTGTAGAGAGGAGCAGCAGTCAGAACAGAAGGAAAAACAGATTAAGGTTATGGATGCAGCTAGCTGGCATTTAGGTCCCTTTTGGCTCCTCTGGCATGTTCCAATTTGAATTTGGCTAAAATGGAAAGATGTTCACTTACTGGAGATACTTTTTTGGTTTTCCTGCCTTGTAATTATATTATACAAGAGAAGGAAGTTTGTCTAAAATTAGTATAGTCACACTTCAGACCAGGAGTGAGAGGCTCCTCTGCTGATCATGTCTTTGACTGCCGAACAGGAAAAATATAATCATTTTCTGAAGCTCTTGCAAACGCTAGAAGAATCTTAAGACTTTTACACTTGCCCAGCCACTCCCAAACAAGTCAATACATGTAATCAAAAATCTGTAAATTAGTGAACCCCGGGGATAGGTCTCTCTCAGTTGTAACATGGGTGCCACATAGGAAAAAAGCCACAATGAAAAGATGATTCCCAATTTCCTGGGCTTCTGTCAGCAAACTAGAAATACTCAACTCTTCAACTACTACTAATATAGTGCAAAAGACCAGAATCTTTTATTGGAATCTCATTACATCTTTGATACTTGCTTATTGAAATAAGCAAAGCATCAAAGATGTAATGAGATTCCAATAAAAGTTTCCGGTCTTTTGCACTATAGTTCTTTAATCTATGTTAAAGGCCTGTGTTTTTACAAAGATTCAACACTGTAGCAAGTTAGAAGAAACAGTCTGAATTCTATCTGAAAAGGCGCCAAAAATATTTTATGGAATTTGTACAACTTTGAAAACAATGTCCCTTTGGGGTTAAGTACAGGCATGATAATGTTTCCCCGAAACAGCAATAAAAACACCATGCATTACATTTTGGAATGAACTGGCAGCCAGTGCTTTAACAACAAGCCTCACTGCAACTTCACTACACTTTATACACAATATTTCACATTTGTATGGTGCTTCCTACTCAAAGCTCTTAAAAATTTTTTTACAGATAGTCAAATTAAACCTCAATGCTGAAGAACTGTTCTCATATTTTATAGCTTAAGAATGCCTATTACTATTATAGGGATTGGTTTGTTTTTAAATTCATAACTTGAAACATTTTATGTATGTTTTCTTGCAAACTGATAAAGATATTTACAACAGAACTGCTGATGCGCGCAGTTTAAGAGGGCCTGCCAACAGCAAAAAAAGCCCCAGTTAGGCTCCGGAGCAGCGAGAGACGCGCAGGTGAAAGCCCGCTATGCCCCCGCTACCCCGAAGCCCCCCAGACACCCCTCAGCAGCCGCGGAGCCCCCCGCCAACCCCCAGCACAGCCAGAGGCAAGCGGGGCC